TCAATGAAACGATGTGTGTCCGTGAGTTTTATTTATTTATTTTCTTCTCAAAAACCCATAAAGTCAGGTACTGAACGTTTAATGCTCAAAGAATCTAAAACTATCTCTTCAATAATTTGTATGAAAAATGAAAATTTTGTTCTAATTTTTGCAAACTTCCAAAAAAAAACTTACAAACACAATTCCTTTTCCAGCCTCAACTCTATTCTTAGATTGTCTCAAGTTTTATTTGAAACTTCCGTTTTTTACTATCCAACACAAATTACTTGTCTCCTCCTACTCATTTTATTTCTTTTTGTTTTTTTTTTCTTCCGGTTTTCTTAATTAGAGACACATCCGGGAGTAGAAGCTTGTCTTAAAAAGAAGGTCCTTCATTTTTTTTTTCAGACAGATATGTTTTCCAGTTTTTTACTTTTCGGTTTATGGAATGTTCGGATTCATTTTGATTATTTTATGGTTTGCGTAGATCTTTCTGCTTCTTCGGATTATTTTGCAAGATGCAGTAAGTTGATAAAATCCCAATTTCCGGAGTTCCTCATTTCCTAAAAATCTCACATCATTAGTTTTTATATTTCTGCTTAAGTTTGTCAATATGATCCAATACTGCGAATTTGAGATCCTTCTTCCCCTTTCCGTCCAGTCATCTGACCTAACCTAGTAAAGAAGAAAGAGCAAAAAACATAAATTTCCATATATTTCGGGACCATGACGAACATGTTTTCCATTCTCCCAAAAAAAAGACGTTCATCTCCTTCCAAACATCCATAAATCCCTTCTATTGACTTCACAGGACAAAAGAGAAAAATGTGTCAAATTGAATCTGCTGAATGACGGAAAAAAGAGAAAAATGGGTAGAAATAAGCTCCGCCCATTTTAAGGCATTAATCAAGAATATCTCGAAGTGAATAGAAATACTAGGGAGGAAAGTGTACTTTTTGTCTTTTCGAAAGAAAAAACAACATGTCCTTTTTTCTATTCTTGGGTTGAAAAACGGGGATTGGGAGGTTGACTTGCTTTGAGAGAATTTAAATTGGTCTACTTTTCGGATTTCCTTCAGTTTATATCATCATTTCCTCATTCAGTTTGAAGTTCAAACTTTGAAGATAGAGGGACATAAAAAACAAGATTCTGACCCCATTTCGATTTTATGGATTTTCAGAAACTACGGCACAATAAATACTTCCTACAGTAATCTTTCGTAGTTTCTGATAAAAAACATAACGCCAAACAGTGATTGATTCAAATGATTGATTTTGTATGTCATTAGTAGCAATAAAAAATTTACGAAACAGTAATCTAATTTCAAAATATTTTCAGAATATCTTTCAAATCTTTTGACTAACTAATTTTAAAAAATTTGCCCTCTTGGATCAAATTCTCAATCCAATGAGATCACTTTTGAATATTTTATCCTTCCACTTTCTTCTTCCTTATTCTCTTTTATCCTTGCACTAATTAATTCACTTCTTCCGTCGAATCATATCTGACGTCTTCTTCAGTCTGAGATTCTCTTTTTCTCACACCTCCACAGTCTTCATTTAGTTTTTATTCTCAACTTAAAAACAACACTATCAAGTTTCGAGTATGCCCTTTTTGTTTTTTTTCTTCTTTCGGGAAGAAGAAGTGTCACATAATCGTAGATGGATGGACCAAGTATGTTTCCGGTCTGACGTGCAGAGAGATTGTAGGAAAAAAGGAAGTAGTTCACCTCTTCAATTGTTACCTAGAACGTCGATCATGGTTTGAATGGATCGAGAAAATATTCTTCTGTTTCGATATAAGACGGTAGAAATTTGAAGAATTTTTTTCTCATTTCTGAAAACCGGAATTTCTCAAATTTTATGTACAAAAAGAACAGAGTTAACAGAAAGTACAAACGTTTTTCGAAAAGTTTGTCTGTTCCACAGATTTCGTCCAGTTTCGCCTTGCCTTTTTACAATTCAGAAATTTTCTGTATGAATATTCCAGAAATTAGTCAAAGTTATAGAAAATGTTTATTTGATGGATCTGAAAATGATCTTGAACAAAAAAAAGGTGGACAAATTAAAATTGGACAGTGTGGACAGTTGGGACAGTGGTAGTAGTTTGCTCAAATCCGGGTGACAACCAATCTTCCTGCATTTTGAACTTCTTGTTGCTCTGTGCCTTCTTTGAAAAAAATTCTTCAAATTTCAACCGTCTTATATGCATGTTTATAGTAAAAGATCTTCCGAAAAATAATCGAGTTTGCAATCAACTCTGGAAATGCTTGAAAAATGGTTTTTTGAACTTACCTTCAGCTTGCTCTACCCTTATTCCTTGTTGTCCTTAACTTGTCCTACCTACCATGTACTGGCCTTTAGCTTACCCTATCTTTGTTCTTGCTCTAACTTAAGCCTAGCTATCTGAAACTATCCAAACTTGGTATTTTGTAAATTGCTTGTCCTTATCTTGCCTCACTCTTGGACCATTTAAAAGCAGACTTGTCCTACCTTGCAAAACCCCCAACAATATTAGGATTCGATTCTGTTTTGTAGGTGCTTTTTCTAAAAATTGAGCGAGGTTGAGTTAAATCAAACCAGAATTATTACAAGATTTTCTAGAATTCCTTTACAGATTTCTGAGATTCTTGATCTTCTGAATTTTTTCAACAAACTTTCCAAGCTTTCTCAACTATTTCTCAAGATTTTCTCTTTTCTAAAGCCCTTTTTAATGACCCCAGTCTCAGGTTTTCCCACTAGGTCATTAAACTTGAGTCTTGGGAACATTCAAAAAAAAAGTGAAGGCACTGAAAAAACTAGGAAATTAATTTTCGACTACACTATCTTCTGGTGATATTTGTGACAATTATTGAATTCCTTACCCACCTGACTAAAGATAATTAACCTGCAGCTGAAAAATTGTTTCTAACTTTCTTTCTTATTCCAATCCTTGAACTTCTGTTTTAGACGTTAAAGAAGCGAAAGCATCAAAACAGAATTCTCTGCGATCTCTGAGACGAGTCATAGTAGTAGTACTTGTCTTCAACAAGACATCCAGATGTTCTCTAAATTAGTCATTCTCGTTCTTTTTTGTTCTTTTTTCTCTTGCGAGACATCTTTTGTTCGAAAATCCAATACAATTATCTCTGGCTCCTTCTGATGACGTGGAAGAGCACTTCTGAAACTTTAGCACCCACTTGATGTACTAAAAAAAGTTGAATTTGAAATGGACAAGATTCCTCTTCTTGTTTTGTTGCTTAATGTGTTTTTCCCATTTTCTTATTTTGTTTTTTGGAAAAAAAAACACTCGAGAAACCTTTTGAGTTAGAAGAAGTCAAGATCCTCTTTCACTTTTTTGTCTAGAAATGTTTTACTTCCTTTTTAAAAGTAATATTATTATTTTTCTTTTTTTTTCCAGCAAACCATTTCTCAGAAATCCTCTGAAAGTTTCCAAAAAAGCCGATGTCCACACCAAAAATCCTCATGTCTCGACTGGAAGAAATAATGAGTATTCTTTAGAATTATTCAACCAGAAAAATGAATACAACTCTTTTATATTATTCACAAATGGAATCATCTTTGGCTTCTTCTTTTTTCCATGGCATTCCTTTGAAATTTCTTACACAAATTTGGTTATGTCCTTTTGTAAGAAGGTGTTCTTGAGGGTTGAATTTTGAGAATTTTGACGTCAGAAGTCAATAAATAGCAACGAATTTAGACATTGGGGGAGGAACAGTTAGAAGATCATCCTATATATATATATATATAAGGACGTCGAAAGTTAGAAATTCGTCTAAAATTTTGTGTTTCAACGTATTCCCTTTGGCTGGGTCTTCTAAAACTGTTAATATGTTCGGTGATTTCCCTCGAGAATCGGTTTTTTAATTTTTATTTCAATAACTGTAACCCTGATCACTTTTCAAATAAAAGGTAGTGGACCGGTGCGTGCAGAGTTAAAACACCTAATAAACTACGACAAATTTTGAAGAAGTTGCCAAAAACTTTATTTTCCTAATCTCGTAAACTATTTCATTTTTAGTGTCAGAATTACCGTAAAACCTGTATTACAAGGACCCCTTCATAGAAGGGTTCCCTTCAAAATCTGTAGTTTGAAATCAAAAATGTTCGTACGTTTTCAGTGAAAAGTATTCCGGAAATTCCACAATTTTCCAAAAATTTGTTGAAGAACTCTTCTTGCTCGTAAACTTGACCAATTTTGATAAGCTTTATACATTTTTATGAATTTTGAAAAAAAATTGATCAATTAAATGAAAACTTTTCTGAAAAAATGGCGCGAGCATTCCAAGAGCCTCCTCTAATTGAAGGGCCCCTGTAATAGAAGGGCTCTACAGATGTACCTTTGAACAAAAGAAGGGCTGGCCCTTCTAATACAGGTTTCACGGTATTCTAAGAAGATCTTTTCATACCTGGAAATGTTTTTGAAGTTGCTTTTAAGTGGTCTGAATCTTTTCTTTTGACCTCTCTGAAAATGCCTTCCATATTCAAACATTCTTCATCTCTTTCTCCAGATTCCCTTTTCCATTCACCCAAGTTTTACAAACCAATTTTCTTCGTTCCTTTGTGCTGGTTTCTTCTTAATTGCCTTTCCTTGCTTCTTCTTCTTCCTTCTATCCACGTGACTTTATTCTTCCAGCCGCTTGCTTATTTTCAGCCATCGTTTTTTGACGTAACTTTCAGATCCTTGAATAGCAGAAAACAACCTCCATATATTGCCGCATTATTCTCACTTTCTTATTCTTCTTTCATTTTGAGCCTTAAAAATTCATTTGCAGACATATTTCCTTGAATCATCTTGTCTTTTATTCTGTGTTTTTGCAATTTTTTTTCGAATTATTTTTTTCTGAAAGCAAAATGCTTCTGAATTCCTGAATTCTAGGTACCCTGTGCTATAGAAAAATAATCAGTCGAGGCTTCAATAATAATTGGAGAGTTTGAAAAATGGGTGAGGATTTTTCAGCTAAAACGATGAATATCTAAAACAATGACAACTTAAAAATCTGAAATTTTGAAACAAACCCTATGATTCCAGACAACGAAACTTCTGCAATTTTAAATGACATCTTTCACGGATACGATAAAAGAGTTCTTCCATTTGTCCAAGGACCAGTTCTAGTCAATATGACTATTGTTCTGGGAATACTGATTGAATTGGTGAGTTATTAAAAATACAACGATTTTTAAATCGAATATTCCAGAAAGAAAACCAGCAGCTAGCCGCATATGTGATATCCCACACTCAACGTTGGTATGATAATCGTCTGATTTGGGATCCGAGTAAATACAGAGGTCAACGAGAAGTCATTGTTCCCCAGAACATGGTTTGGATTCCCAAACTTTTTGTGTATAATAGGTGAGTCTTTTTTTAATTGGCTCCTAAATAAAATACCAATTGTTTAGCTTGGAATCCAAAGATATGCTAACCGAAAATCGAGCGGATGTCCGACTGTACCATAATGGAAGAATCAAAGTTTGAATCGAAAAGTATGAAAAGCGAAAAATTTTAGATTTCCAGATAAATATCCCACAATATGTGCAAGCTATATGTCGAATTCAAACTCAAGCATTTCCATTTGATTGCCAGTTTTGTGCCGTTGCTCTAGCATCCCCGCTGTTGAATGTGGAAGAGATGATAGTGAATGCAACGCAGCCCCCGAGGGATTCTTATTTTACTGTGAGTTCCAAATGGAAGTTTGAAAATTAATTCAAATTAAAAAATGCATTTTCTTGATGTAAGACAAAGTTTCATCTATAACAAGACAAGCTTAATAGATGCATACCATAAATGGCCCGCCAAATTTGAGCTCCATAATCACAGTTTTTCTAAGAGATAACCAAAAATTGTCAACTGATAAATTGTTTTTCAAAATATCACCAACATTTTATCAGTTGACCAATATTCTATAACTTTCATAGGAACCGAGATAATAGAGCTCAAAGTGGAAGTATAGTGGCTCTTCTATTAGAGTGTTTATGGAAATAATTTTAGTGATATTTGATTTTAAAAATCTCAAATTTTTATGCATGTGTTTGATGGGAAAATATTTAGTTGAAAGTAATTGAAAGATTCAGAAAAAAGCTTATCTGACAATTTTTTTTTAAATAATGGACTTTCAGGGAAACGCAGAATGGTTCCTTTTCAATGTGACTGTTCGACACATGACATTCGAGGAAGAAGGAGAATCAAGGGTGGAGGTAAATCATAACTTTTATATCATTCGATTTTATCAAAGTTTGAATATAATTATTTTTAAAACTTAAATTCTATGTATCGTCGTCTTGGTTGTCTTGAATTTTATACGATTGAATTCCAAAATTTTCCAGATCCACTACATTTTCCACCTTCAACGTCGTCCGATCTACTACATTACTGTCATTGTGGCACCAACCTTTTTGATTTCCGCACTTTCTATACTTGGTATATTCAGTCCTGGATCAAATGATGGTCCTAGAAATGAGAAGGTATGGATTTTGCACATTTCTGATTATATTGCAAGCATCTGTTGTTTTAAGAATGTTTCAGGAATGATAATAAGCCAGACTATATGAATCTTACTATTGAATTGAAATTCAAAAATACTAAAAATGCATCCGCGCTACATTGAAACCCTCTAACTTCTCTGCGTCCATCTTTCTTCTATACTCTCTCGCTTCCTTATCCCAAACTTTTATAATTTTGAAACCGCCTTGAGTTTTCTGTCGTGATATTAATCCTTCCCTACCATTTGGAATGCTGTGAACTGAACCGGTTTTCATTTTTCTATAAACTAGAAATTGAATTCTAGGCTAGAATTTTGACCAAAGGCAAAAAAAGTGTGAAAAAAAAAGAGTGAAGCCTTCTTCAAATGATCCATTTTTTATAGAACCAGAGTAACGAAAATGTGAGTTTGACCCAATTTTTTGTTTCCCTTTTTCAACATTTTTTTCAACTCAATTTTTGTTATTTCTTATTTTTCCATTTTTCAGCATGATTTATTAACATTTTTGCATGATTACAATGTTATTATCCTTTAGATCGTTGAGTATTTTTTCCCAAAAACGCATTCTCTGCATTACTGATTTCAATTTTTATCATTACTGTCACTGCTTATATTTGATTTTTTCAAAATTTCCATTTTTCAACTTTCAACCAAGTTCATGCTCACTAGAAGCTCGTTAACTTTAGAGCCTAGCTTTTTCGCTCGGGATCCAAATTGGCAAAATATAGTTTCATATATTTTTAATTTGTTTATAATTCCAGGTATCTCTCGGTCTGGGAAGTCTTCTCGCGATGACTGTTTTGTTGGGTATCGTGGCTGGAGCGATGCCAAAATCAAATGATATTCCATTATTGGGTTATTATATTCTTGTGGTTATTGTACTTTGTGCAGTAGCCGTGGGAATATCAATGGCCTTTTTGGCAGTTAGCAGACATTATATTCAGAAAGGTAAGTGTTAAAAAATGATAAGGGTTTTGCTCTAATGGAAGCCCACCAAAACCTTCATCTTCGAGCTCAATTTTCTCGGTTCCTATGAAAGATATTAAAAATCTGTCAATTGATAAAGTATTAAAGATTTTATGTTGGATAATTTATCCGTTGAACATTTTTTGATATCTTTTGAAGGAATCGAGATGATTAAGCTCAAAGCTCATGTTTAGGGTGAGCTTCTATGTAACATAATGGAGCTGATCTTCCATTATGTTACAGTTTTAAAATATAGCAGTGGTAAATTTCGGACAGTTTTTTTTTTCAATGACCTTGTCTTCCAAAATTTCTTCAGTCATTGTTGTAAGACTACTGACACTGATAACCTAGGCATCTTTCTGAGGTCACCATCTTTAAAAATTTCAGAGCAAATGCCATCAAAACGTCTCCTTCGATTCATGTTCCTGAACGAATATCGCAAGCGAAGATCTACAGTTTTTCGTGGTGTCCATAACTATCGATTCAGTCAGGAGTGTGATGAGTAAGACTTTTTATCCAATCCCTTTTATTTTTTCAAAAGTTTCAGCCTAATGTACTCAAAAGTGCCTGAAATTCAATCGATATGCATGATGATGGAAGAAATTGCGGATTCCCATAGAAGTATGAGACGGAAAGCCGACATGAAAGCGACAAGAAATTGGTGGGTTGATAAAGATTTTTTCGGTTTCAGAATTTTTGTTTGAATTGATAAATACCGTACTTTTTCTAATAGAAGAATACCCAACACTCGCGCTTAAAAGGGGACTCCGACCAAAAATTTTTATTGCATTAAAATGTTCAAAAAGTTGTCTATTTTCCCAATATTATAGCGAAACAATTCGAAAAAAATCCTAAATCCCCGAAAAATGGCGTTAAAAGCAAGATACACTCTACATGAATTGCTAGGAACGACTTAAGATTGACCATCAATTGGATTCCTTCCCTGATTTTGGCGCTGACTGGCGCTGAAACTCTACATTTTGCATATGCGCCATGGGGACCTATGGTTGGAGCTGCACTTCTTTCTATGGGTAAGTTACCCTAATTTAGTGTTCAAGTGTAGAATGAAGAAATATTCAATTTCAGCATTCAATTTCACAATCANCTTTGGGACCTCAATTGTCAGAAATATTTCATACGTCTCTTCCACCTACACACTATTTTCGAATCCTTATTTTTCTTCGCTTCACAGAGACGCAGATATGTCAACAAAACACCTATTTCTTGCAATAAATTCTCAGAATTTCGCAATAACAAAGACTAAAGTACTCACGGTAACAGAGGAAAATCAGAATCACTCGATGCTCCTGGACACTGCATTTTTCAGACACGGAATCTCAGAAATTAAGTCGGAGAGGGAGCAGAATAATGATGCCCAATTTAAGCCTGTGACGGTCAGCTTTCTCTTATTTTCTTCGTAGCGCAAACGACACAGAGAAAAGGCAACAGTCGCAGGCAGCTAGACAAAAGGCTCCTTGTTCTG